TGGGGCACACAGAAGACAGATGGGCTGTGCCACGGAAGCGCTGTGGTTTTGGAAAGTCACTGAATGCTTCCTGAGGAAAAAATGCGATAATCACAACATCACGCTGGGCTTGAGAATAGGAAATGGAAAGTGACTATTTTGTTTAGACGTGAGAAGACTTGCTGTTGTGTTTTGTGAGATTCTAATTAATTAAAAATTGATAAGTACTCTATTTATTAAAATATTTGAAGATCAGTAGTACTAGTTATCAACATTGTAATCAAGTAGCATACTCGTCCATGTTTTGGCGGTTGGGTTTGTGCCATAATTAATAATTTGTCTGTTGACGAAACTGTCATTTCTGATCATTTTCCAGTTTTGTTTGATTTTGATTGTCCGGTGAGCTTAGGTAAAAGGTCTGTGGTGCTGCGCCAGACACTGGTTATTACCCCGGCTACAGCTGATAGATTTTGTGCTTCTTTCACTGAACTGCCGGCCTCCACTCTATTTTACACGAATCCAGATGATGCTTTGCGTGTTTTTCACTCAGCCTGTCTCATGGTGATGGATACCATTGCTCCTTTAAAGGTTAGACGCCCTAAACCAAAATTTGACCCTTGGTTAAACTCTCACACACATGAACTCAGACGATTATGCAGAAGGTGTGAACGCAAATGGAAGAAGGATAAACTATCCATTTCCCATGAACTTTTTAGAAATGCACTGGATGAATATCAGAAAGCAGTCAGGAATTCTAGAAATAAATACTTTGCCAGCATTATTTCTACCCATTCTGGGAACCAGAGGGCTTTATATAAAACCCTAAATGCAGTTTTGTCGAGTGATTACTCTCCTACGGTTGCAATCACAGATGATCTCTGCTCCCAATTTTTAAGTTTTTTCCTTGATAAAGTCTCCAATATTAGGAGTCTAATCATTTCCCCTGGAGAGGTTCTGCTACCTGCATCTGTTTGTACCGGACGCTTTGACCATTTTGAGCCGATCACACTGCCTGCCTTGGAGAGATTAATATCTTCCATGAAGCCATCAGGCTGTCCTGATGACATTGTACCAGCCAGACTCTTCCAGGAGGTTCTTCCAGTGGTAGCCCCTCATGTGCTCAACATTATTAACTCCAGCCTTGTTTCGGGAATTATACCCTCTGTTTTTAAACATGCCGTGCTTCAACCACTACTGAAAAAATCAGGCCTAGACCCAACTGACCTCGGGAACTTTCGCCCCATTTCAAAGCTCCCCTTCTTGTCAAAAGTGATGGAAAAGGTGGTTTATAATCAAATTATGCCACATCTGAACAATTTTGGGGTCTTGGATAAATTCCAGTCTGGTTTTAGACAATATCACAGCACAGAATCCGCTCACATCAGGGTTTTTAATGACATTATTTTAGCCACTGATTCCGGTTCCCATGTTGCCCTGGTAATGTTGGACCTCTCAGCTGCATTTGACACAGTTGACCATGACATTTTATTGTCCCGCCTTGAGAATTTGGTCGGTATTAAGGGATCCGCGCTTGACTGGTTCTGCTCCTACTTTGATAACAGGTCTATTAGAGTTAGAATGGACGACTGTTCATCTCCCTCTGCTGCTCTTCCTTGGGGCGTTCCACAGGGGTCTATCCTCGGCCCCCTTTTATTTAGCATTTATATTATTCCACTGGGACTAATCTTCAGGAAGTTTAACATTAACTTTCATCTTTATGCGGACGACTGCCAGATTTATGTTCCATTGAAGGCTTTTACCTCCATCCAGCCGCTCCTTGACTGCCTGAGTGAGGTTAAGGACTGGCTGTCAGCAAATTTTCTGCTCCTGAATGATTTTAAGACCGAGTTTATTGTTTTTACTCCTAATGGCTTGTCTTCCTCCGCTCCTGATTTTTCTGCTCTTCCTTTTAAAATTAGTCAAACAATTGTTAATCTTGGAATTAAAATGGATGTGGCTCTAAAAATGGACCCTCACGTTAATCAAATGGTTAAATCATGTTTTTATCAGCTGAGACGTCTTTCCAAACTAAAACCCATTCTGAATCGGCGCCACCTCGAGACAACCATTCACGCTTTCATCACCTCAAGGTTGGACTACTCCAATGCAATTCTGTTTGGCATTTCAAAAGCCGCATTATCTCGCCTTCAGCTGATACAAAATGCGACAGCAAGATTTCTGACCAATACTGGCCGTCGGCAGCACATCACTCCCATTTTAGCAAGACTTCACTGGCTTCCTGTGCACTACCGTATACGTTTTAAAATTTTATTGTTTGTTTTTAAGGCACTGAATGGCTTAGCACCACCCTACATATCCGAGTTACTCACTCCTTATGTGCCAGGCAGGACTCTCCGTTCAGGTGACCTACACCTATTAAAGATTCCCCGTCAACGCTGCAAAACCCGTGGTGAACGAGCTTTTTCTGTCTGCGCTCCAAAACTCTGGAATGATCTCCCGCTGCATATCAGACTCTCCTCCTCCATTGGGGTTTTTAAGTCTCACTTAAAGACTTACTTTTATTCTCTTGCTTTTACTACCTAGCTATTTTATCGATGGTTTATTTACACTGTTCTTTTACTGATTTTATTGACTTCTCATTGTTGGTTCTTTGTGTTTTGCTCTAGTTGTTTTATTCTTTTATATTATTCTTTTAACCTTATATGTTTTTACCCCTGTACAGCACTTTGGTCAGCTCACATGCTGTTTTTAAATGTGCTTTATCAAATAAATGGAATGGAATGGAATGGAATAAAGTCGTTCCATGTCGTAATGTCTGTTGTAAAGTACTCCACAATGTTGTAAAGAGCCGCGCCACAGCACTTGAAACAGAACTGGCACCTATCTTTAGCGCCTTCGTGTAACCATTGTCAGTAACTATAATGGCTTCTTTTTAAAATGATGGTGTTGGGGTGGTGTGGCGCAGCACATCTGTCTTCTGAGCCCAGGCTTAAGGTCCTGGATGTTGTTGGGCTGTGTTGGTTGACACGGCTTTGCAGTTTCGCGTGGGCATCAGGGGCAGTTCCACTGGATCGGCAGACTGGGGGAACTACAGAGGGATCACACTTCTGAGCCTCCCTGGTAAAGTTTATTCAGGGGTTTTGAAAAGGAGAGTCTATCGGATTGTCGAACCTCAGACTCTGGAGCAACAATGTGGTTTTCGTCCTAGCCCTGGAACACCTGACCAGCTCTGTAGGATGTCCTGCAGAAGGTGCTCAACAGCGCCCCCCGGGGTCCCTGTGGGGAACACTCTGGGTGTATAGGGTACCAGGCGCTTTGATGCAGATTGTTAGGTCCCTGTATGACTGGTGTCAGAGCTTTGTTCACATTGCCAACCGTAAGTCAAGCTCGTCTCCGGTGAGAGTTGGACTCCGCCAAGATTGCACTTTATCATTGATTCTGTTCATAACTTTTATGAACAGACTTGCTATTGATTTTGTTTGTAAGTATATCCGTCTTTTTAATAGCTTTGATTGATCGAGATGTGCACAGGTTTGTGTGAAATAAAAAATGAATGAATGAAAATGAAGGTGCAGCCTACGAACGTTTATTCAAAGGTTGGTGAACACATGAAGGTTTTCAATTTTGATTTAAAAGTTTCTAGAGTTGAGGCAGATTTGAGGTCATGAGGAAGCTGACTCCATCTGTGTGCTGCATAGTAGCTAAAAGCAGCTTCACCTGTTTGGTTCTGATCCGAGGTTCTACCAGCTGACTGTTTCCTAACGATCTCAGAGCCCTGCTGGGCATATTTACCTGAAGGAGATCTGACATGTATTCTGGCCCCATGCCATTGGGTGATTTACAAACCAGCAGAAGTACTTTGACAGTGATTCAGTAGTTTACTGGTAACCAGTGTAGATATTTTAGAACAGGAGTGATGTGTTTGGTTCTCTTGGTTCTTGTTAAGACTCCAGCAGCAGCCTTCTGAATAAGCTGCAGGTGCCTCACAGCTTTTGGGGAATACCAGTCAAAAGACCATTGCAATAGTCCTGCCTGCTGGAGATGAACACATGAATGAGTTTCTCTGGATCTTGTTTGGACATGAGACCCCTGAGTCGTGCTTTTTTGATGATGATAAAACGCTGATCTAGTTATAGCCTTAATCAAATCAATCAAATCAAAGATACTTTATTAATCCCAGAGGGAAATTAGAGTTTCAGTACACACAATTCAGAGATCAGACATACATGGGCAAGACACATGACGAGAATTGGTGACTGTGGTCATTCGCAACCCTGAGTCGCGCTACCTTAATAGAGATAAGAGGGTTACATGAGGATTGGTTCAGATGGAGGGAAAAAAAGGCACTTCACAGCTACCCTCCCACTAGGATCTGTCTGCATTCCTTCATGGGGGTTTGTTGCTTGCCTTTCAAGGCTGCTAGGGCGTCAGATTCGGATAACAAGACTTTGTTTGGGTCAGACTGAGATAATTTTCTCTGCCTTTAGTCTTTAAACGGATCATTTCCAGTCCTTCATTGAAGCCAAATTGGGTTTTTAAACTTGTCCGTACCGTCCGGTGACCCTCTCCGAGATGACATCCATTTTGCGCACTAATACCGGTATCACAGCTAGAACATTGTCCAGCTTACGATTCACCTCGAGTAACGTCCCAGTCTGTGAGGTCTCCACACGGACAGTGCTTTCCGTGGGTGCGGGTCACCCTCCAATCGCTCCCGTCTTCCCAAATTTCAAGAAAACCAGATATCCTCCCACTCCAATCAGGAGAAATCCAGTGATCATCAGGCCAAATATCCACACGTCTTCGACATCCTCCATGGGCAGCTGGGAGAGGCATATGCTCTTCCACTCCTTAAGGGAATCCAGCATATACCCCCACCAGGTGTGTCCCCCTGTGGGCATGTGGGAGCCCCCTGCTCCGTTCTCATTGTTGAAAAATTTTTATCAATCGCGCTGAATGACCATTTAATCAAATCCATGGTTAAAAATAGGGTTTTTCAGAAGAAATGCAGAGAAGCGCTCTGTGGGCAGACAGGACAAAGGCTGTGTCTCAACTCAGGGTCTGCATCCTTCGAAGGACCCAGCCCACCCGGCCGACGTGGGCTGCGTCCTCCGTCGGCCGGGTAGACCGTATGTTAACGGCTGTGAATTGGACAGGCCTAGCCTTCATGAACTCCCTCGGCGAACGTTCAGTCGCCTAGCAACCGTGGAACCGCTGGGCAGAAGGAACTTTAAACGATGGAGCTCGACGTTTTATTTAGCTTTTTAACCCCCAGAAACCCAAATTTAGAAAACAACTGCAAAATCTTTTTTTAACCTTTCACATGTTGTTCTAGGAGGCCAGATAAATGGGCCTATTTACACATTTTAACAGCCAATAGTGTTGCAGAACTGAACAATAGGACCTATTAGCAATGTAAATGTGGTTTTAAAAAGAAAAAAAATGGGGAAGGTTTATTCTTGTAGACTTAAATCTGATGTAATATTACAACCGTGGGTCTCTGGGGCTTAATCATTTCCTTGACTGTTGGAGAGCTAATTCAAAGAAAATACTTTAGACAAGCTGAGCATGAGCAAAGATGTGATAATAGTTTTTAATACTTTCTAAGGGTCTTAATTTGACCAAAACCGATTTATCACCTTTTAAGACTTTTCAAGACCCAGCGGATACCCTCTAGTAAACAATTCTCATTTGTAAACAAAAATAAAATTCAAGAGATTCAGAACTGATTTTATTTATATATTTCTTTTATATGTACATGTTTAATCTTCCTTAACCATTTTTTTCTAGCAAAGTAAAAAGCTGTCAAAGTTCTTCCTTCTCTCCTGGGCCCTCTGCTGCTCTGCCTCCCTCTGCGGCCTCGTGTCCTCCCAGATCAGCTCCAGAAGCTGGTCATCGCTGGCACCTTCCCCTGGATGCCCATTTTCTCCAGAATAGTCTTAACAAGCATGTAAGAAAAAAACAGGAAGAGAAAAGAGGACAACGGGTTATTCCTTTCATGTTTTCGCAGAAAAAAATTAACTCAAACGAGTTATTTAAAATATGAGATGTTATTGTACCTCCATGCCACAGCCGCCGAATACTTTGCTCCGGTGATCATGTGGTCCATCTCCGCCCTAAGCTTAATAAATTCCCTGGTTTTCTCTTTTGTTCCTAAAATTCAAACTTCTATTAAAATCAGGGGTAAACGTAGCGGGAGAAGTACGACACCGAGCGCAGCCGAACATACGAGCCGAGACCGCAATACAAGCACTTTTACTGTTACATTTCTAACTAAAATAACGTTCATGTATCACAAAAAGTCCTTAACCTAACAGTTTTCAAGTTTATACTGACATTTATATGTGCAATCCTCTCCGACAGCTCCCGCTTCACTGTCCGCCATTGTTTTTAAGTTTTTCTGCCGGCCGGCCCGCAAGGCATCTTGGGAAATGCTACCTGTTGAAGGATACACCCGACCCATCCTTCATTCAGGCAAAAAGAAGGCCGCATTCGTCGACCGCATTTGAAGGAGTCTTCGAATTGGGACAGGCCTAGTCGCGGCGCTGTGACGTAACCGGCCGACGAATCCGGCCGACGTAGGATGCAGACCCTGAATTGAGACACAGCCAAAGAGCCTTGGGAAAAAAAGATAAGGGAGCAAAAAGAAAAGCGTCTGTACTCCGCCCAGTGAAGCTCAGGTCTGAATCTACATATTTAAATAAAAGACGTTTATACTTTGATACCTCTGTAAACACAAATTAGGTAAAGCTTTCTGCTCTAAACAAGTTTATTAAAAGTTTAATAATGTATACAACTCCATTTCATAAAAGCCTATACCTCACTGGAAAAAATGCTATTCTCAGCTTCTTTTTTCTCATTTTGTTGCCTCGTCTTCATTGGTTTTGTCCCCTCAATGCCCCCATCCTGGGGCAGTTGGAGAGCAGCTGTTGCTCTCAACACACAATTATTCAGCCTGACAGGTGAACAGGACAAGAAACAGTAGAGGATGAACAGAGTAGGGAGAAAAAAAGGAGAAGAACTTGGAATGGAGTGGAGGAGTGGAGGAGTGGAGGAGTGGTTGCGCCGTAGGATGGCAGCACCGACGAGAGCTCCCAGTCATCTCAGCAAAAATCTTATTATTTATTTTGTTCTGCTCTCTATTACTGTGCGCACAGCGCGATCATACACGCGGTATGACAGACAAGCGCTTCTGGAGCTACGTTCATCAGCCAGTTCGGACTTTACAGCAGGTTTTGACTCCGTGGACGCTGTGCTGCCTGGGATCCTTTGTTTACTCGCACGACGTCGAGGGAAAACAAAGAGGGGAAAACGTGCTGGAGTTTTGTGCCGAACGCGACAGAGAAACAGCAAGCCACCTCTCCCCAGCATCCTGCTCGCGAATCTCCAGTCTCTGGACAACAAACTTGACGAGCTGCGTGCACGGATTAAACACCAGCAAGACATCAGGAACTGCTGCGTTCTGGCCTTCACGGAGACATGGCTGGAGCCCAGCGTCCCCGACTGCGCCATCACGCCGGATGGATTCACTGTTTACCGGGGAGACCGAACGAAGGACTCAGGCAAGAAGAGGGGAGGAGGGGTGTGCTTTATGGTTAACTCCTTGTGGGCCAGGGATGTGTGTATCTTAAAAACTTACTGCTCTCATAGCCTCGAGCTCCTGACCGTTAAAGTCAGGCCTTTTTACCTCCCGAGGGAGTTCAGCTCAGTTCTCCTCTCAGCTGTTTACATTCCACCACACGCTGATAAAGCCACGGCTATGGACGAACTGTATGACATCATCACTGGACTTGAGAACAAAAATCCAGAAGCTGCCTTTATTGTGCTGGGAGACTTCAACAGAGCCAACATGAAGAAGGTTCTCCCCAAATACTATCAGCACATCTCCTTCCCCACAAGAGGTGATCAAACATTGGACCATTGTTACACTCCATTCAAAGAGTGTTACAAACCCCTCCCCCGCCCAGCTTTTGGTAAGGCAGACCATTGTTCCATTCTGCTGCTGCCTGCATACAGACAAAGACTAAAACGGGAAAAACCAGCTTCCAGAGTTATTTACAAATGGGACAGTGAGGCTGAGGAGGTCCTGCAGGACTGCTTTGAGACAACTGACTGGCAGATATTTGTGGATGCAGCTGATGGCAACATCAATGAACTCACAGACTCTGTCATTGGATATATTGGGAAGTGCATGGATGATATCATCACAAAAACCACTGTCCGCATATACCCAAATCAGAAACCCTGGGTAAATAAAGACGTTCGCGCCAAGCTAAAAGCGCGAACCTCTGCCTTTAACTCTGGAGATGCTGACGCATATAAAGCAGCCAGGTATGACCTCCGAAAGTCCATAAAAAAGGCCAGAAAGGACTACAGGGACAAAATGGAGTCCGGCTACCACAGCTTTGACACCAGGCGACTGTGGAATGGACTGCGCTGCATCACTGACTACAAGAAGGTCAGCACAGTCAGTGTTCAGCCCACTGCATCTCTCGCAGACGAGCTGAACAACTTCTATGCTCGTTTTGATGCAGACAACAGAGAGGAGATCCTCTACCCTCAAGAGGACAGTGAGGCTGCAACTCTAACTCTGGAAACAGAAGCTGTGAGATGGGCCTTTAAAAAGGTCAATCCTCACAAAGCTCCAGGACCAGACGGCATCCCAGGCCGGCTACTCAGAGTGTGTGCAGACGAGCTGGCAGAGGTGTTTACCAACATCTTCAACCTCTCCCTGAGGCAGTCAGTGGTCCCGACGTCCCTCAAAGCATCCACCATCATTCCCGTTCCCAAAAAATCAGTGGTCTCCTGTCTGAATGACTACCGTCCTGTTGCACTGACATCCGTCATCATGAAGTGCCTGGAGCGGCTGGTCAAATGTCACATCTGCTCCTCCCTCCCTGACACACTGGATCCTCTTCAGTTTGCCTATCGGACAAACAGAGCCACAGAGGATGCCATCGCCCTGGCAACACACACCGCCCTCACTCACCTGGAGAAAGGGAATACATATGCAAGAATGCTCTTCATCGACTACAGCTCGGCATTTAACACCATCATCCCCTCAAGACTTGCCACGAAGCTCGTCGACCTTGGGCTGGGAACACCGATCTGCAGTTGGATTCTAAACTTCCTCACAGACAGGCCCCAGGTGGTGAGAGTTGGTAAGCACACTTCCTCATCACTCATCCTAAACACAGGTACGCCCCAGGGTTGTGTGCTTAGCCCCCTCCTATATTCCCTGTTCACACACGACTGTGTTGCTAAACATGAGACCAACATCACCATCAAGTTTGCGGATGACACAACCATCATAGGCCTCATCACAGGGGATGATGAGGCGGCCTATAGAGAGGAGGTGATGGCACTGTACGAGTGGTGCCTGGAAAATAACCTGACTCTCAACATCAGCAAAACCAGAGAAATGATAGTGGACTACCGGAAACGACCAGTCAGGGAACACCAACCCATCCGCATCAACGGGGTCGAGGTCGAAAGGGTCAGCAGCTTCAAGTTCCTTGGAGTCAACATCACTGAGGACTTCTCCTGGACCCTTCACACAGACACTACTATCAGGAAAGCTCGCCAGCGGCTTTACTTCCTGAGGAGGCTGAGGAAGTTTGGCGTGAGCGCCTGCTTCATCTCAAATTTCTACAGGTGTGCAATTGAGAGCTTGCTGACGAGCTGCATCACAGTGTGGTACGGAAGCTGCTCTGCCAGCAGCCGTAAATCACTACAGAGGGTGGTGAAAGCAGCAGAGCACATCACTGGCATGAGGCTTCCTGCCATTCAGGACATTTATCTCCAACGATGCCTCCGGAAAGCACACAGCATCATCAAGGACCACAGCCACCCGGCACATCAGCTGTTCTCCTTGTTACCATCTGGCAGACGTTACAGGAGTCTGTCTGCTCGGACTACAAGACTTAAAAACAGTTTCTATCATCAAGCCATACGACACCTCAACCACAACACCTAAACACACACAACACAGGACTCAGAAGCTACCCTGCAGCTTCACAAGTACTATATTTAATCTCACAAGTACTATATTTAATTTATTGTTATTGTAATTTATATCCAAAGTGCAACACTGTAATCTATATCCTGCATAATTTATATCCTGCAATACTGTAATTTATATCTAAAGTGCAATACTGTAATTTTCTGCAGCTCATTCCTGTGCAATATCCCATCTGCCCTCCCGTCATATTTCTTTTCAGGATTTTCTTTATTGACACATATATATTTAGTCATCTTTTCCCTTTTACCATGTCTCTCTAATATTTTGCTCCTTACTATATTTTTTTTTGCTTTATTTTATTATATTTTTATTATATTTTATTATATTTTCTCCTGTATCATGTTGCTGAGAGACCGCTGCTCGTCATACACGTTTCATTGCAATGTTGACCCTGTGCTAACTTGCATATGACAAATAAACTAAAACTGAAACTGAATTATATTTTAGCGTTTCTGGGAAGCTGTGGGTGTAGTTGTTTATTACTTTAACAGGTGTTACTCGGGCGTCTTTGCTGCCATGCTCTGCTTCTTTAGAAAAACATAAAAGGATGAAACAAGTCCCACCACTGTACATGAAAAAACAGGGAACTTCACTTGAACTTTGCTTGAGGTGTCACATTGTAGCTGTGTATGAGGTATTTTGTAAAGTCAATAACATATTTTCTACAGGGCCAGGAATGAAAGAATACCTTCTGTTGCAAAGATTTTCTTTTTGTAACTGCAATTTTAACACAAATCCTTAATTACATTGATGTAGATATAAATCATCAAGATGAGGATAGTTGTAAATAATATTTGAACATCACAATTTTTAAAACCCAAACACTGAAAAAGTTGAGCTAATAGGCGACAGCTGGAGATTCTACTGAAGAATTTGAAGTTTTTCTTTTGATGGAACCCCCCCCCCCCCCCCCGATCATAAATCTTTATTATGTGAAAAGACTCAGTCTCAGCTGGTTTCCTTTGCAGATGGAAAATCCTGCATGAACATATTTTGTGTGTTTCTGGAAGGAAATCCATCATGGGTTGATTGCCATTATAAAACAAAGAAAAACTGGTAGAAGTTCAAACACAAATTCACTTTTGAGTCTTTTATTTCCTCCGTTTTTGAACAAAGACAGTGACATAAGGCAAGCGAGGCTGATACTCCGCCTGCTAAATGGCTATTTCACCTTAAAGGAAACCACCATGTAAACTGAACTCTGCTGGCCCGTCAGTCTGTCGGCCCACCCGCCATCCTATCCGTCTCATTCCTCAGGATCAGTTTGGCTGAGTTGAATGTAGGGTCAAGGCAATTTAACACTCCTTCTGCATTGTAAAACAGGGCAAGAGGGGGGTCAGGGCCAGGCTGGTGATGATCAATTATGCGAGCACCGTCTGCATTCCTGTGTGTTATTGTTGAGGACTGTAAGAGTAAAGTTGAAAGGAAGCAGATCACTGGTTAACATCTTCATGAAATATGTGTGTGTGTGTGTGTGTGTGTGTGTGTGTGTGTGTGTGTGTGTGTGTGTGTGTGTGAGAGAGAGAGAGAGAGAGAGAGAGAGAGAGAGAGAGAGAGAGAGAGAGAGACTTTGACTTTTAAATTATTTTTCTTTACAAATCAACAATCAGCGTTAATGACTGTAACTTGTTTTCCACTAATAAAATGAGGAAAACTGATAAACCCA